AGTAACACACTGCAAAGTGGACGGAATGGCGGCGACACCTGAAGCTGTAGGCGTAAGTGATATTGATATATGATGGTGGGAGCTATGTGTTTGACAATGTAGCAATTTAATCTGAAATTTGTTTGTAACATATAATTAGCTGACATAAGCTAATCAACCTTAATTAGCTAGTTTTAAAGGACAACTCCGGCGCAAAATGAACCTTTGGTCTAATTACACATTGCTACCTAGTCAACCGTTATCTGAGATTTGTTTTCATGATTGCCGAATGTAAATAGTTTTATCTCTAAAAACAGTTTAGCCTATAGCGCTAGTATAATGCTAGTAGGGCATAGAGTAATGACAAGTAAAAATCGCTTGTTATTACCACTAACAAGGCTCAAAATAGCCCCACACTAAAACGACAGCATAACAAAGGTCCCTACATTCAAACTGAAGCATTGAGAACTTTGTCAGTGTCCATACAGTTTAATAAGAAGATATTTTATACACACAGTCAACTTCGCGAATACAGGAAGAAGCCACCTTTGAAAAATAGTCTCTACCAGTCGATCTACGAACGCCGATCCAAGTGCGCTGAACTGTGCAGAATCTCATATGGTCCGTTGTTTTCGGAAGAAACACAAACACGAACCGTTTTCTTCTCTTCAATATGTACACGTAGCCTACTGTTCGCGCTCACATTATCACCTTATTCACATCTCACCGGTGGACGTGGATCGGCGTTCTTAGATCGACTGGTAGAGACTATTTTTCAAAGATGGCTTCTTCCTGTATTCGCGAAGTTGACTGTGTGTATAAAATATCTTCTTATTAAACTGTATGGACACTGACAAAGTTCTCAATGCTTCGGTTTGAATGTAGGGACCCTTGTTATACTGTAGTTTTAGTGTGGGGCTATTTTGAGCCTTGTTAGTGGTAATAACAAGCGATTTTTACTTGTCATTACTCTATGCCCTATATACTAGCGTTATACTAGCGCTATAGGCTAAACTGTTTTTAGAGATAAAACTATTTACATTCGGCAATCATGATACAAATCTCAGATAACGGTTGACTAGGTAGCAATGTGTAATTAGACCAAAGGTTCATTTTGCGCCGGAGTTGTCCTTTAAAACTAGCTAGTTAAGGTTGATTAGCTTATGTCAGCTAATTATATGTTCCAAACAAATTTCAGATTAAATTGCTACATTGTCAAACACATAGCTCCCACCATCATATATCAATATCACTTACGCCTACAGCTTCAGGTGTCGCCGCCATTCCGTCCACTTTGCAGTGTTACTGAACTCCGTCTTCCGTAAGATACATTTACTCCGTGCTTCCTGTAATGAGAGCTGTCAATCAAGGTAGAAGGATGTCTCTGTGGTTGTGATGACGATGAAAGGTGACCAATCATAAGAGGGCCAGTGCCCTCCCATAGGTCCCGCCCCCAAATTGTCAAAAGTCATGTAGACGCGAGGGAGCAGAAATCAGCTGAGCGAGCAGAAATCCACTGCGCGAGCAAAACAGCACTTCGCGAGCAAATTAAAAGCCCGCTGCGCGCGAGCAGGATTCCATTGTACAAGCAGAGTTAACCTATGAGAGTATGCCAGGCGCTCGCTCGCAGCTACCGGTACACCTCTCGGTTGTTGAATTTGTGCGCGATTACTTTTATCGTGCCAGCTGAAGGTTCATTTTCGCTCCCGTGAAATAACATAATGTGCTCATGAGCATGTCTTACGCGCTCGTAACTTTTGAATAAAAAATAACGCCATACACGTCCGAGTGGAGACTGTGTGCGCGCCACCACATAGGGTTACCAGACTTCCCGAAAAATTTGTGACAGTCCCGAAAACTAAGCTGTTGTCCAGAATCCGGCCCTAATTGTCCCGAAAATTATACTAAGGCAAAACCTTGTTATTGTCTGATAAAATATTAAAAACTTCTATCTTGTCCATGGAGGTTGAGTCAGCCCCCGCCGGCGGCTCATTGGCTGCAGCATCTTTTTTGTTTCTTTTTTTGATGATTCTCTATATTGGGTGCCCTTCAAGTCTCTCAAACTTGCTTCAAATATTTTCAATTGAAGGAAATCACAAAATGCATTTTAATGACTTCAAGAACCAGGGCATTTGCATTAAAATGCAACACATTTGCTTTTGAAAAAATAAATAAATAAATAAACATAATGGGTTGCCTAAGTAGTAGACAACAAGCATGTTTGCATGTCCTCACTAACCATCATTACATTTTCATTGAATATCAAACAAATAAAAAGTGCATACCAAAATGTTGCTGCAGCTAACATGATCATATGTTGGTCTAGTGTATTTTTGTTTACTGTTGTGAAATGGAAAATCAATAATCGCTAATCGAGAATCGTTAATAATAGAAAATTGACAATCGAATCGGGACTTCAATAATCGTAAGTGAATCGGGAAATCAAAAAGATTAACCACCCCTACACCATAGTGACTCTAGGGGTCGCTGTTTGACAAAAAAACGAATTCCTGCATAGTGTGCCTTTAATTTCTTTAAAAAATATTCACCAGTGTCACCCCAAACTTTTAAACGGTATAGTCTATTTTTCTTTGTGTAAAACAATGCAAATATGAATCTGCTTTGTTGCTGCTGAGGCTTTGGCTGAGGAAGTTAGAGGAATTCCCTAATTACCAATGGATACTCTGTAGTTGATGTAGACTGTAGATAACCTTGTAAATCACAGACCTCTTGCTTTTTTTCTCAAAAAGGCCGAGGTCTTTTGAAAACGCCTCACATAGTGGAAAAATGTGGTAGACCAGACCAATTTTGAGTTTTTTTTGTGTGGTCTAAGGTCTTTTCTCCCCCCTTTTGGCTGTTTCACAATATCCGTTACAGCACTCAAATTTGATCTGCATTTAGCTGGACTGATGTGAATTGCTAATCAGAGAGTTTTGAAGCTGATGCCACATTGGCCATGTAACACATCTCATTCACCTCCAGTCTCCACGGGGGTCAGTCTATAGTGCTGAATGTGTTGTGCTTGACTCACAGTATGTGGCTTTGTTTATGTTAAATGTTTCAACACTACATAATGTAGTTGTTTCATCAACAGAAGTACAGCAAGGGTGCATGAGTGGGGGAGGTGTGCAGAAGTTTTACACAGTAAAAGCATGGCCATGCTCTCTAATTTTGCTTCTTGATTTGGATTAGCATTGCTTTGTAATAATGTACATTTCTAATTAAAATATAAAATGCTATAACATTTGCAAATTGGTAAAGAAGTTAGATGACTTTTTTTTCACCAAAATATTTTAAGAGGTTTATTCTTTTAAAGGAATTTTCCCCAATTGAAGATACGTAGGTCACTGTTGTTCTGATGGCCGAAGGTTTTTAAACTGTTTAACACAAATGAGTGTTCTCACATTATAATGGGGCACATCCCATGTGCCGTTACACCTTTGTTTCACAACAAGCCCTTCTTTTGTTCTGCCCTTTTGAGCTGTCACTTAATTTCTGCAGGACTGTTAATAGCTGAACAAGAACTATTACAGTAAAAAGTGTTAACATGATGACTTTGTGTTGGTGTAACCAAAATTACTGTCTCTGGTGTAACCTAAATGAACTCAGGCTAAGACCATTTAGTTAACTGAAAACATTTTAGTGTAATTGGCTCATTTTCCGCCTTGACATGAAGTCAAATGTGACATACAGTTTAAAGACATACTGTGAGATACATGCAAACAGGAGAAACTGACTGTTAGTCAGTCAGAAAAAAATCACTGAAAATTGCCAGAAAGGGGGTGAGAACCCAGTTCTGCTGAAAGAAAAAAGGGGAAATAATGTAGGCTACTGACAAACAAACAGTGTTTGGCTAACAATCCAGAGGGAGGACAAAAAAAAAAAACTTAAATTCTTTCCGGACACCTGGCAACTATAGACAATTTTGCAAGATGTAAACAACACTGGTCCAGAAGCACTTCCTGTTTCAGTTTTTTAACACTACATAAAAGCTGGGATAAAATACAACCAACAGAACATATAAAACTGAATCAAAAAGGTAAACAAACATCTTTAAGATGTTTTCTTTACATGTGAAGAAAACTGGACCAGTGTTGTTTACATCTTACAAAATGGTCTATAATGTCTTTAGTGGTAGGCTATGACACTACGTACCTCACTTAAAAAATATATAACTGCTAATGTAACCCTCCTAACAATATAAAATATATAAAATATTATATAAAAAATTATAAAATTATAAAAAAAATTATAAAAGAAATTATAAAATATAACCCTTCTAACAAGGAATTAAAGAAACATTTATCATGTTCTTAACTCATGGTAATAATCCAAACATGGAGCTAAAGAAAAAAAGTGTTTACATACACTAGGTGTCACAGTCTTCGTCTGCACCGTCCAGTCTTGTCATCAGCAGCACTACACTTCCCAGGATCCTCTTGTCTCCACTCCTGAACTCACTCCCTCATCAGCCACCTGTTCCTCGTCTTGTTCATCAGTATCACCTGTCTTCACATCGTTATGTTTGATTCCTCCCTGTATTTAGTTCCCTCTGTTTGATTCAGTTATTGTCGGTCAATGTTGAATGTTACCCTGCGTGGTCCTGTAACCTGTCTTCCGTCCTGAATTTAGATTAAATATTGTTGTATTGTCATCCTGACTCCTTGTCCTCTTCTGCCTGCACCCGCACCGTGACACTAGGTCTAGGAGAAACATAAATGATTATGGGAAAGATAATCTGTGAGTAAAAAACAATATCCAGCTAATATGTTCTCATGAACTTTGGCAGTTACAAACGTATAAACCTTAATAAAATGTTTGTTCAAAGCTATATGCTCTTTAATAATTTCTCAAAACGTTAGCACAAAATCATCACTTATAGACGTTCAGAGAACTTTCAGAAAATAAGAAAAAAAAACGTTTTCATAATTTAACGTTAGCAAAACGTTCTTAGACTGGATAGGCTGAACAGGAATTAAACAACACGCAAAAATAATATAAAGAATAAATAAAACCACAGGAAAACAGAACAGTTACTTCCTCAGGGCAAATACTTTAGTAGCCCTCTGAGTAAAAAGTAGGCTATTAAAAATTGGTCAAACTCCGTGCGTTTCAAATGGAGCTCTCGGATTGGTGGAGACATCCATACAGCGCGTGTGGGCAACAAACACACTTCCTCTTCAGAGCGGGATGGGGGGAGTTTCTGCAATTTGAATGTTCCTCTCCGGGCTGCTTAAAATAAACACAGTAGCTGAGAATTTTTGTTATATTTGTGTTTATTGTGTTTATAGAGAAGATGGATTATAGCAGACATCACTCGCAATATACGGACATCAGAGAAAGGTAAGTGTGACGTTAATTACATTCGGCTGTGGAATAGCTTCGGGTCCGTTTGGAAACGCCTACTTTATACCCAAAAAATATACAGTTTACATAGTTTTTACATATTCCTATTATGCGGTGTAATATTAGTTGGTGGGAGTGTAAATTTGTGCATGTTTAAGATTTATTTCTTAGCAATGACCGTACGTTGTCGTAATTTAATTTCTTAATTTTGCAGTTTGACATACTGGCAGTTTCCTCAGACTTAAGTAAAAAAGAAGTACTTACACTGCACATTACACTCCACAATAGTGCTTTTACACTGCACATTATGAGGAACTGTGAAGGAGTTGAGGTTCACCCAGTGGTCTATGATCACTGAAGCGCTCAAGCTGCAAGTTCATGATTACACACACGATAAAGCTGTTAAGTTTTCCCCTGACTGCCTGCTAACTGCTGATTATGAACAAAATAATCTATCTATCTATCTATCTATCTATCTATCTATCTATCTATCTATCTATCTATCTATCTATCTATCTATCTATCTATCTATCTATCTATCTATCTATCTATCCAGTTTGTATCATAGCATATTATGTTGTTATAAATGGATTGTATTCATCTTTTGGATGCATCAATGCATACTTGAGCGGCACATTCACACAGTGTCTCGTGCGTGTCTTTACACTTTCCACCATTTCAGTTCAGTCTATTCTAGTCAAGAAGTGGAATCTACATGATGCTAGAACTTTTTATGAACCATTTTTGCAGTTACTATAATACATAATCTCACATCATCAACTCACATGCAGTGATTTTTAGCGGTTGTAGGCTATACAGTAACGAACATGATCATTTAACATTTATTAAGATCAGTGTATTAAACATACAGTACAGGTACTGTTCTGTATTATTTGCTTTAAAAGTGAACGTGTGCAAACTTTTTCTCAAATAAATGCCACTTGCTTTGATATTTTATCTAAATGGCATTCATACATTTGTTAGTGTGGCCTAAATGTATTTTTTTTTGTATTCACCACTGGTTAAGAAATATATAGATATTTACTGTATACAATTTGAATTTCCTGTTAAAAACATATTAGAATATATAGATGTATAAAATGTATTAAATGTAGTAAAATTTGTTTAAATAATAAAAAGCAACTTCAATTAATCTAAATTGAGTTCAACTTAGTTTTGGGCAGTGAACCGTGACCTCTGACCTCCCACTGCTGCTGCAAGCACCTGATATCCTGCTGGGCTGTCAGAAGTTATTCCCTTCAGCATGTCTAGAAAACCTTAATTAAACTTAATCATTCACACTCTTTGTATACATTTCTAAAATGTTAATAAATCATCATGAAATGAACATAAAGCATAATACCAGTCAAATAACTTCACCAGCTTTAGCGTCAAATGAATGTTAAAATAGTGTGGCATTTATGTCAGTTTAGCTCTGGCAGCTCTTGCATGATTGTTGGAATTTCTTCATTATTGGGGTTAATCAGCTTTTTTGAGTGGATTAAGATCATTTGAGAGCCTCCTGCCGGGTTCGCTTGTCTATCATTCTGACATTAGGATTCATTTGATTGCGCTAAACATATAATTCCTCTGGCTGTGCCTATAGGAAGAGACTTCACAGGGAATCCTTCAGGTTGCAGGATCCATTGCTTCCAAAGGGGCCGTCAACAAGGAAGCCGTGTAGAGAAGGAACCAGGCACACAAACTGCAGAGAGAGGAGATCTTCAGTGCGACACATCAAATCCGTCAGGGACAAAAGGCCATTGGCTGCAAGCCAGCAGGAAAAGTAAAGTACCTCTGTGTCTTGTGACATAAACACATAAAATGCACGATGGAACCTTTTTTGTTTAATGCTGCGTGACCATATAAACCTTTTAACCTTGCCCACAGTGCATTATTATTCATGTTTGCAATTATGAATAATTTAACTATAGTATATTTACAGTCACAAAGTAATAAATATATACAGCAAATAGCATGAATATTGCAGGCTACAGTCGAGCTCATACATACTGTAGTGTACATGCTGATGGAGTTTTTCTTCGAATTCTCCAATTTGTTTCTTCAAATTATTGTTTCATCCTGCAATTCCTGCAGTCTCAATGCCAGAAGGCCTGCTGAGAGGAACTGGGGGAAAGCTGTTATCCAAAGTTCATCAGCTCAAGTTAAAGTGGCTTCACTGGTCAAAACTGCTGTAAAGAACAATACAGAACCTGCTCGCAAAAAGAGGAGGAAAATTCACCCGTCTGGTTTTGAAGGAAAAGGTAAGTGATTATTAATCTCATTACATATTAACTGACTTATCCAGAATTTAGCTTAGTTGTTTCCAGACCATTCTAATGGAGATGTGAGGATAAATAAGCACTCACTGACATTGTGCACCGTGTGCCACTAGATGGCAGTATTGAAATGCTAAGACTAAGCCAAGCTTTCTTTGAAGTAGCAGTTTCCGTCTGCAGCACAAAGAAATAATTCATGGAGTATTCAATCTTTACAAGACTCAGGGACACCCATACAGACTGTAAAATTGTATAATAACTTCAGTTAATGGCTTCAACAGAGTCAGACATTATTTGCTTTTACAAAAACAATTTAAAAACAAAGATTATTAATCTACTACGAAATCATCTAAAAAAAATGTTAAATATTTGTAATAAAATCCTATGTTGAATCAGTCCACAGACCTTTACTGTGGTAAAAAAAATAAAAATAAAAATAAATGTACTCTAGCTTTCAAAATTTCTAGTAAGATTTTGAAATAAATACATTTATTCATCAAGGATATATTAAATTGATTAAAAGTAACAGTAAAGATTTTATAATGTTACAAAAGACTTCTATTTAAAATAAATGCTGTTCTTTTGAACTGTTTATTTAAAAAAGAATCCTAAAATATAAATGTGTCACGCTTGCCTTTCCACAAAAATATCAAGCAGAACTGTTTTCAGTGTTAAAAATAGTAAGAAATATTTCTTGAGCACCAAATCAGAATATTAGAATAATTTCTGAAGGATCTTGTGACACTGAAGACTGGAGTATATTGAGGCTGAAAAAATCATCTTTATGGTCTCGGCCTCGGGAATAAATTGTTTACTACTATATGTTCAAATAGAAACCAGCTTCTTTAAATTGTAATTATATCTCACATTATCACTGTTTTTACTGCATTTTTGATTGAATAAATAAATACAACAGTTCATTCCGGTTGTCGAATCTGAACCGTTGCACTATTTGTATCACTCATTTTAACAGCAAGTGTCATGGCGGATATTATATATACTATATACTATATATTATATACTATATATTATAAGTATATATATACATACTATATATATACATACTAATATATATATATATACTATATATTATATACTATATATTATAAGTATATATACTATATATTATATATACTTATATATAAATATAGTGCTTATTTGACAGTTTGTTTAGATGTTTTTGGAGAGGTGAGCCCTTACGAAGAAGAAGTCTATTTAAGTGTGTGCTAAGTTTTTATGTACTTCTCAGAAATATACTTAAAATTGCACTTAATTATACTTGACTTAACAATAACAATAGTATATGCACAATATCGGATTTGGATCGGCCCCGTCTGATCGATACCCGATCTGGCAAAAATGGCAGTATATATATATATATATATATATACTGTATACATACACACACACACACACACACACACACACACACACACACACAAACACAAACACCTTATACTGAGAGAAAAGCCGCCCTCAAGAATATCATCTTTGTCTTATTGCTTAGTCGATCTCTCCTTCACAATACTCTACATAATACTTTAAGCTTCAATGAAGCAAATCTGTGTCTGGGCTGAACTGTCAATTTGAGATTTTAATCAGTGGCAGAAGAAAGTAGTTCTGCACAAAATACTTTTTTAAGACACTGTTGTTTTTTCTTATTTATTTACACACTTCTGCTGTCGAACTGTTGTATAAATGCAATATTACACTCGTAGTCATGCAATGTGGCTCTATATATGAACGACTGTGATTGTCTACAGCTGAATCAAAGCTGTGCTGATATAGAATGATATCACTCGGCTACTTGTGTGATATTGCTTATATGTATAATGTGTGTGTGTGTGTAAAGTATTATTAGGAACACCTGTTCAATTTCTTATTAATGCAATTATCTAATCAACCAATAACACAGCAGTTGCTTCAAAGCATTTAGGGGTGTGGTCATGGTCAAGACAATATAGGAAAGTAAGGTGATTTAAGCAATTTTGAGCGTGGCATGGCTGTTGGTGCCAGACGGCCCGGTCTGAGTATTTCACAATCTGCTCAGTTAGGGACTGTTCGTTGTTTATTTAAGGGGCCACCGGAGGAGATTTGAGATCTGTAGTCAAAAAAGACTTGACCCTCCCCTCGCCAGCAATATTTTTTTCTATGACCCTCCAAAATGATTGTGAAAAAAGGCATGACCCTGCCCGATAATGTATTGATTACTTCTGTACTGGTCTGCGCTTGGCAAAGATGCTCAGATAGCCATGATAAACGACTAAACTCCTGCTTTCTCATTTTACTAGGGCTGTAACGATAGACCAAACCTACAATTCGGTTCGTATCACGAGTTTTGATTTGAATTTTTTTTTTTTAAATCATGTTTTCGGTGCTGATGCAGTGGTGACGCGTTTATGTAACATGCAATTTTGCGCTCAAGTTGAAAGGCATTTTGTGCATAGTAAAACATATCTGCAACATTTATCAAGTTCACTGATAATTGTGCATGCATTTATTAATCATTATGATACTAAAATCATAATAAAGTAGTATGCTTCCATTTCAATAGTCCAAATTCACGGCCATTTTCGTCTTTCTTCTGTGAATTTCATCAGCTCCTGATTGATCAAAATTCAGATAGATCGACAAATCGGCTCGTTCAACCGCACAGTGCACACACCTCACGAATTCATGCCTACAGCTCAGATTTACTCACTAACACTGTTCTGGAAACGCAATAAGAATGGAAACTAAAATATGGTCGTATCGTGCCACAGCGCACATTATATCAGCTGCAGTTCGGGCGCCTCAGTCCCAATACACTCGACGTGCATTCACATCACATGTTAATGCAGCGGTAGAGTTACACACACAGGACAATGCACTTTTTGACAATAATAACAAACGTTCATTATTTGCTCGTGCTTTAAAGCTTTGCCGGGTAAACATTTATTTGTCATTCTGTTCTAATGCACTTTTTCTGAGCGCGTACTGAAGCACGCGCGGACCATCAAACAGCGCCACTGCGCCACTCGGATTTGTGTTGCTCAGACCCATCTGACAGCGATGGCCCGGGGGCCGAGACCGAGAGAACTACATGGAAAAAATATGCACCAAACAAGCCACTTTGAAATTTACCTGTTTTGATGAATACAAAAGCTGGGTGACCATCCCCTATAGACTAAAAAAAGTTGGATGACCCTCCCCTCATCAAAGAATAAAAAGACATGACCCTCCCCTATTTTCCTCCGGTGGACCTTTCCATAAATACCGAACGGTCCCTTACTGGGATTTTCCCGCACAACCATTTCTAGGGTTTACAAAGAATGGTGTGAAAAGGAACAAACATCCGGTATGCGGCAGTCCTGTGGGCGAAAATGCCTTGATGTTAGAGGTCAGGGGAGAATGGGCCGACTGATTCAAGCTGATAGAAGCAACTTTGACTGAATAACCACTCGTTACAACCAAGGTATGCAGCAAAGCATTTGTGAAGCCACAACACGCACAACCTTTAGGCAGATGGGCTACAACAGCAGAAGACCCCACCGGGTACCACTCATCTCCACTACAAATTGGAAAAAGAGGCAACAATTTGTAAGAGCTCACCAAAATTGGACAGTTGAAGACTGGAAAAATGTTGCCTGGTCTGATGAGTCTCAATTTCTGTTGAGACATTCAGGTGGTAGAGTCAGAATTTGACATAAACAGAATGAGAACATGGATCCATCATGCCTTGTTACTTACACTGTGCAGACTGCTGGTGGTGGTGTAATGGTGTGGGGGATGTTTTCTCGGCACACTTTAGGCTCCTTAGTGCCAATGGGCTTTATGCCCAGCTGCACTACTTCCTGAACTTCAGCCAGCTCCTTGTTTCCTGTCTGCAGTTATTGGCCAAATTGATTAATCCAGGTGTGCCTGACCTCAGTTGTCATGGCAACAATAATCAGACACACCTGAATTAATCAATTTGGCCAATAATGGCAGACAGGAAACAAGAAGCTGGCTGAAGTTCAAGAAGTAGTGCAGCTGGGCATAAAGCCCATTAGCCATCGTTTATGGCCACCATGTACCCATCCTCTGATGGCTACTTTCAGGTGGATAATGCACCATGTCACAAAGCTTGAATCATTTCAAATTGGTTTCTTGAACATGACAATGAGTTCACTGTACTAAAATGGCCTCCACAGTCACCAGATATCAACCCAATAGAGCATCTTTGGGATGTGGTGGAACAGGAGCTTCGTGCCCTGGATGTGCATCCCACAAATCTCCATCAACTGCAATATGCTATCCTATCAATATGGCCCAACATTTCTATAGAAATGCTTTTTGCAATCAATGCCATGTAGAATTAAGGCAGTTCTTAAGGTGAAAGGGGGTCAAACAAAGTATTAGTGTGGTGTTCCTAATAATCCTTTAGTTGAATGTATATATGAAGAGTTCAGATGCAAAAGCCTCTAAATGCCATTTGAAATTTTCTTCTTTAATGATGATTTTGTCAAACTTGTATACTTAAGTTCAGTAATTTCACTTAAATAACAATTAATAGGTAATTATCATTGCCATTTAAGTGAAATCACTGAACTTAAATATACAAGCTTGATAAAAATGATCATTCTAGAAGAAAATTTCAAATGGCACTTAGAGGCTTTTGCATCTGAACTCTTCATATATAAATCCTGCTTGCTCTGCGCCAGCTGTTTATTGTTATTTTTTTCCGTGTCGAATTTGAGTCGCATACATTTTCCATGGCTCTCTCGTTCAAGGAGACAAGGGAACAGAGCTTAGCACAATGCTTTATGCAGTCGACATGGTTTTGCTCTTGTAGAGGGATGTACAGTATATCATTCATAGCCACATGATGGTTACATCAGGGAGTTGGTGAGCATGATTACACAAGTGCACCAAGTCGCTATTCTTATTTCCCTTGTGTTCTACAGTAAAACTTGTGAAATAAAGATGTAACCTTTGGATAAATGTTGTTTCATCCAGGAATTAAT